CTCTGGGTTCACTGGACCCCCCAGGGCAGGTTCAGAAACACATTCTCTTCCCCAGAGAGCAGCAGCCCCGGTGGTAGGTCGGCTCGGTCCTTGAGACTGCCGGCCTCCGTCCAGCAGGGCTCCCCCTGGGCCCGGGCCTGAGCCCAGGAGCTGGGCCTTCCCATTGTCCTGTCCCAGCCCAGCCTTGAGGTCAAATCATCATGAATCCGGCAGGGCCTCTCTGTAGAAATCACAGAACCACAGAATTTCAGAACCTCTGCCTGACCCTTCTGTTGACAGGGAAATTAAGGCACCGATGAGGAAATTGAGTGGCTTGTGTAAGCACAGTGCTGTTTCGTGGCAGAGCCAGGATCAGAACCCAGCTGTGGTCCCTGTTACATTAGAATGCTTCATTTCCTGTTAGCTGCAATGAATTACCTTTTACATTCACAGTTTTCATTTATTTACTTATTTTTCTAATCCTCACCTGAGGATATTTTTCCCATTGATTTTTAGAGAGAGTAGAAGGGAGGGAGGGAGGTGACAGTGGTGGGAGAGAGAGAGAGAGAGAGAGAGAGAGAGAGAGAGAGACCCATCAATTGGTTTCCATCTGCACACACCTCGACCGGGGCCGGGGATCGAACCTGCAAACCAGGTATGTGCCCTTGACGGGGGATGGAACCCACCACCCTTCAGTGCTCAGGCTGATGCTCCAACCACCGGGTAACTCATCCAGGGCTCACTGTTTTTACTTGAAGGGGCCCACTCTCCTGCCCTCTTCCCCTCACCCAGATTCCTCAGTGCCGGGAGTGGGCAGAATATGCCAGCCTATTTCACGTATTATTAACTCTAGCAGAAAGTGAGGAGGTCCCAGTCTCTTTCTGAAAATGGCATTTTGGTGGAATTTTGCCAACCAGCATGATTAGGTCAGCACAGCACCACTTCCTGCACTTGGCACAGTAATTAAGAGCTGAAAGCTGGGTTTGAAGTTCTGTTTTCCCGAGGGGCTAGTGTGGGTTCCTGTACGATGAAGGCTTCTACCACCCCTGGGTCTGTGTGAATTAACTGCACATTGTGTGCCACCTCCTGAGCCCCAGGTGGGGTGAGCGTGGTGATGGCGAAGAGAACCCGCTTTCTGAACCAGATTAACCACCACCTTTACAGGTTGGTGATGGAAATTCCAGCTCGCATAGGGCACCCAGACACCTGCTGGAGGGGCAGTGAGGGTTGGCTGTGTCCTAAAAACCTACCTCTTACAGGAAAAAGCACGGGATTGGAGCCAAATTCTTACTCAAACTCATCAAACTAAAGAAAGGGGGTTCCAGAGAACGACGAAAGTCAACCTCAGAGAGGCCTTCCTGGCCGCTGGGGTCCTCAGACCAGGCCTCGCCCAGTACTTCTCAGACTCTTCAATCGCAGCTGGAGCCCCTCCAGACCACCCCATGCTGCTCAAAGTGAACAGAAGAGCAAGAGACCTGCAGGGGGCCCAGGGGAAAAGGTAGGAGGGGCTGACCTGTCTGCAGGTGGGAAGTGAAGGGGAGGAACTCAGGTCTCCCTCAGGGACAGGGGAGAACCAAGGAGACTGCCTTCTGTGTGCACATGTGTGTGTGTGTGTAGGATGCTGAAGGGAGTGTGATCCACACATGCACATCTGTCTCCTTAGGAATGTGAACACTCAATGTGCCCAGTCAGTGTTGCTGTACTTTCGTCCCAGAACAATTCAGTTCCTTTAGTATGAGGAGCCTAACGCCTCACGGACACTGTGGTAGGGACTCAAATATCCAGAGCTGGTGTCCACACAGTTACTGCAGAGACAAGCTCCACAGCAGAGGATTTTGGGGTTCCCTGTTTCCTCCAGGCCTACAATAGGCCACTTCTGTAACAAGATCCGCAGTGTATTTAACACGTGAGGGACAGCTGCAAGGTCTTCAGCAAGGCCTCCTGTGGCTCTGATCTTCCTGTCACTTTTGCCACCTGGCCGACAGTGACTGTGAGACAGGCTCGAAGCTGCATCGTGATTTCAGAGATGTTAAGGTTTGGGAGAGGGGGTGTTGGGGTCCAGCCCCAGCAGGTCCAGGGGTTCCCAAAGGTGTGGACGGAGTCCACGAAGAAGGAATGACAAGGAGACAGTGTTCAGTTGAACAGCAGCCTAGCCAGGTTCTCTAGTCACGTTCTCCAGCCAGGTTCTGTCCAGGTTCTCTAGTCAGGTTCTCCAGCCAGGTTCTGTCTTTATTCTCCTGTTACATCTGTATTTATACCAGTTGATTTTAATCCTATCCATTCTATTCCAAAGGTTAGGGCATTTGTTATCTCCATTCCAAGGTCACTACTCTATTGTTCTGTTAAGCTACAAGGAAGTAACTGAAGGAGCTTATCCTAAGTAAAGATTATGTAGCTTAAGCATGATTGTTCATAGTTAAAGTGGTTAACTACCGGCCTGGCACTTAGTTAAGGGTTTTTACTGATGTATTCCCTTCCTTAGTCCTGTTAATCTCTAACTCCAGGGAAAAATCCCCACCTGGAGAAACAACCTTTCTCGGAGAGGTGACCTTGGTTAAAACACATAGCGCTAAGTAGGGGAGCAAACATATTAAGAACAGTATGCCATATAAACCAGGTCCCTTGAAACATATGCTGTGCAGATGGTTCTTCCCTGCAGCGACTATGTCAAGTGGCAATGATGGACCGGCTTCCGGCAAGGGAGAAAGTGCATCCTACTTGCCTTAAACATGGCTGAGTTTTCAATTTACTTTTAAATCTCATTTCATACATGACTTACCTATAAACCTGCCAAACATGCACCCTGAGAATTTAAATTTTATGAAGGACACCAGGACTTCCTGAAGACCAACCCAGGCCTGAGACTCTCAGGGGCGGCTGTTACAGCACCAGAGCCTGTGACAAGCTGCCTCCTGAGTGTGACTTGTGCACATGCCTTTCTGGGTGACATTCACCACTTCAGGACCTCAAAATGCAAAAACACGATGTGTGCACACACATCCATACCAGTGTTTAGGGACTTATGCTCGCATTCCCAGTCTTTACAGGAGGTGAATTAGGTCAAATGCTCACATGCAGGGAAATGATAATGAAGCTTATTAACATTTATCTTGAGGCGTCTGTTGCCAAGGGTTCTCATGGGGGCTACATAAATTTTTTTACATTCACCACCTTCCTTTGTGTTATTGTCTAAGTTGACTTAATTAACGATAATCAGCCTAATAGAGCTAGAAAACTTTCAGAGAAAAGATGCTTGACTGCCCTGGCCGGTTTGTCTTAGTGGTTAGAGTGTCAGCCCTCATACTAGAGAGTCCAGGGTTCGATTCTGGTCAAGGACACATGCCTGGGTTGCAGGCTCAATGCCCGGCCCAGTTGAGGTGTGTGGGTGGCACCCAATCGATGTGTCACTCTCACAAAAATGTTTCTCTCTCTGATTCTGCCCCTCCCTCCCACTCTCCCTGAAAAAAATATCCTCAGGTGAGGATTAATAAAACAAACAAACAACTGTTTGGATTCCTGAGTGAGGAGGTCAGTGGTAGATATTAGTAACGACAGCCATGTAATGGGGGCTCTTTCTGGGCTCAGCAATCTTTAGCTAGTTTCATACTTTATGTCTTCACAACTGCCATGTGAAGCAGGCACAATTCCTATCCCCTTTTCAGGGCTGGGAGAGTGAGGCTTGACAAGGTTAAGCACTTTCCCAGAGAATAAGGGGTGGGGCTGGGAACTGAACCCGGGTCTGGCAGATTACAGAGCCTGAACTCTTAACCACTGTGAGCACTGCCTGCAGTTGAAGCTGCTTTGGTCCCTGAAGGTGCTGACCAAGCCTGGGGCACCAGCATTGCATAGTGGGTCCCCTCTCCTGTGGTGTGAGCTGTGGCCACCAGGTGGTGGTGTGGAGAGAGAAATAACAGCAGACCTGCCATGGACTTGAATCCTAAGTCAGAAATAGGATAAATCAGTTACGCTCATGTACAGGACATGTTCAGGAAGTTAGGCCAATTGTCTGCTCTGATAAGACTCCGTAATTTAAAGGTCATGAAGTGTAGGTTTGCAGTAGAGGATGCATAGGGATCTAAATGGGAATAATTCTTGATGTTGACAGTGTTTTGGTCTGAAAAAGAGGAATTTCAAACTCATCCTTCCATAAGAGGCTGTTTGAGATGCACAAGGACTATTAGTGAGCAGTTCAGGTGGACTGTCCCGTTGCAGCAGCCAGAAGCATACCAGGAAGTGTCCCAAGGTGTTTGAACAGGAGCAGGAGTTAGTTGTGTGTGAGCCAAGTTGTCAGGGAGCCTGTCATTAGGGCGGAGGAGTAAGAAAAACCGGATCCTAAACTAGTAAACATACTTATTTAATAGTTTAACACATTGAAATTGAAAAATAGTCTAAGGCAGCGGCTCCTAGAGCAATATAGAATCCTCCTCACGTGCTAAGTAAAGCCTGGGCACAGGACGCCACTAAATTAATTAAGTGGGGTCAGAGCATAATGGCCCACTGAGTCCTGATTCTGTTTGTGCCGTGGGTATTGTTTCCAACTCTCCTGGGCAGGACAGGACTCTGATTTCCCAAGAATATTTAGCTAACGCAGTCATTTGTTATTCATTTCATTTATTTGCTGTTTTGTTTTGTTTTTCCTTCCTCTCTTGGGTTATCCGGGGGATCACAATTTAGCAACTCGGCGCAAAAAGAGTCGCTTTTGCAGAAGCGGGAGCGAGGACAAGGCCAAGTCTCCATCATCCCGCCCGGCTTTCTGTAAACGCCTGAGGTTCTGGACCTCCTCTGACATCAAACCTGCTTCTCACTAGCCCCTCCCTTTCTCAGACACTGGGGATTTCTAATCCATCAGTGTCTTCACAATGTACCTGCCTTCATGTCTGAAATTCAAAAAACAAACAGAAAAACAGTAGCTAAAGGCCAGATGACCCACAGTGGACCCCTCCTCCTGACCCAAATTCCAAGCCAAGCTTCAAGCAGCCAACCTGGATTCTGACTTCAAAGGAGACCAGTTGTCCCAGCCTCTGGACCTGACTCCAGCGCAGCGCAGTGTTAGGGGAGCCTCGGGGCATCCACGCCAGGTCCCTGGGCCAGGGTGTCTGTGCTAAGTGAGGCCCCGGGCCCAGTGCCGCCCCCTCTCTCGCACCTGCAGGCTTGTAGACCTTGCCCCTGTGCAGCACAGAACTCATCAGCGGTCGCTATGCTTCTGAAACTGCGCGGCCCCTGTCAAGTGAGTTTTTTTAAGACTCATTTTTCGGCAACTAACTTTAAATCTGCTGCCCTTGTCTCCACATCTTGGCTTTTGCAGAGCAGTCCCTTTTTAGATGTCTTCTGTGTTTTGAAGAATTTTCTGCTCCACTCAGCATCTCAAATAATCAGATCGATGTTGCCAAGCCAGGGTTCAGCCCAGAGTGATGTTTTAGGACCGTGCTGAGGTCTTCTGACGTCTTGGATGCTGCTGTGAGGGCAGCAGTGGACAGACAGGTCATCAGCTCACAGTCACCGTCAGCCGGGAGCGCTGGTGCACAGAGGCCTTTAGCTACTGCATTGTTTTCTGTCTTCAGCCATCCTCGTACCATCTCCATGATTTTGCAAAGTCTATTTCACCTGAGTGATACATACTTTCCCTTGAATCGACTTGCCATTTCCACTTTATTTTAAAAAGGAAGATTGTTATCAGTACTGTGAGTGGAAAACCACTATCATATAAACACAAGGTCACCGTGAAAGTAAACGGTGACTCTCGCACTGCTCCTGTCAGTTGATGTGGCACTGACTTCCTCGCATGCATCGCTCTGATTCCTGGGCTGCCGCGTGCTGGTCCCCTGCCTGCCTGCCCCGCATGCTGTTGGAAACTCGGTCTCTCTGCCCTGGCTGCTCTCTGGCACCTCCGCCTCCCGGCTGCTGCTTACACTGACCTCACGCAGTGGACGCCTATCAGATTCATCCCACCAGACTTGAATCTTGCTGCTCA